GAAGGCATGAGTGGGGTTTTCTTTCTTACAACTTGCACAAGGGTTTTCATTTCCTGGTTCTGCACATGGTGTGATGGCAGACAGGAGGCATTTCCAGATGCTACAATGAAGTCCATCAGAAACAGAGGCAGCCAGAATCATTTTTACTTTCCTGAACAGTTGCCTGATCTGCTTTGAAATCTAATGGCTTCCAATAATGATGACAAAAAAGGTAACTAGGCATTGGCTGAAAGGTTTCTATTTATCCATTTACATTTCCTGAAAAACACAATAGCATGGACTTTCATAAGCCCAGGTCTCTGGAAATGGACAGTTCCAACAACCATCTCTATTGCTTTTATTCTTGTTTGTTCTCCTGGTTTTTCATTTATTTTCTTAACATAACCTGCCCTGAACCTTTGAGAAGAAGTGTAGCAGGTAAATCAACATCAGTTATTCAATCAAATTTTTCACAGGGGGAATCCCAATTAAACCATCAGCATAAATTTCTGAGGCACATTTTTGAACAATTAGATCTAGTGACAAAGTTGCTAGGGCTGTGTGAAAAGGCCACATATACATAGTAAGCCCTGCTACATTTGACCACTCGGTTAGAGCCATGACAGAGCCAGGTTTCCATGTGCGGGGTGCCTGACACCAGACTCAGGGAAAAAACCTGTAAAGAATCACTGAGGGTACACAATCTGCACTGGGATTGCTCTATTTGGTGCTAAGGAGGCAGGGAAGGCAGGGAGCTCAGGGCTGGCTGTCAGCGCTAGGCAAGGACTTCTCTTGGGACACTTCCAAAGGAGTCTCTTACTACAATACCTTCCATATCCCACCCCTCATTCCATGGGTTTGAAAAGGAGAGATAGCAATTAGGAAGAAAATCCCAGACCTTCTCCTTCCATACATTCCTGCAGCTGCCTCAACTCCTCCAACTGAGAATCTGGCCCAGATCCCTCTGGAAGCAAGAGTCACCAGAATGGGCTTAGGCTGATGGGACTTGGTCCAAATGTCCAGGCCTTGTGGACCAAGTGCCAAGGCCATTGATTTGATGGGGTCTGGGGAGCCTGACCAAAGATCTGTGACTGATACAGGGGCTGATGGAGAGCTCTGTTGCCTTGGCTGACTGTGGTCAATGGTTCTGCTAAATTAGGGCCCCTATAGCTTTGTTAACCTTCTTTTACTGCTTTTTAAATCAAAACAAATGGCAAGTAGGTAGAATGGGAGCTGTAAAGGTGGGTTTGGGGGCCTCTGTGAATGCGGTCACCCTGGTGTAGAAACCTAGAATGACTGTCAGGAAGCTTGAACCATTTGTTATGGTCTTACTTGCCAAGGGTAGTGTGAGGGATCATGCCAGACCCTGTCACAATGTTCATTCCTGTAAGGAACCGACAGCTTCTGCTCTACCCTTGATAAAACTTTATGCAGCCTTCAGCCTCCTGTCAACTGACTGGCTCACAGCCCTGATGGATTCACAACTGTTTATAGCTCAAAATTGTAGTGATCATCACCAGGTTCGATAAACACAGACATTCATGAGTGAGAAGAACCATACAACAGGGTTTAATTAAGAGCAATTAGCAACCCTCTGCAGCCCCTATGTCTGCCCATGACTAACTAGCTTGACAGAGGGATCATATCCCCATTCCCAACCTCTGCAATCTAAACAAGAGAGCGTCTCCAAATGATAACTTCTTTCCCCACCACAGTGATCAGAACTGGCCATGGCCATCCCAGCAGACCAGCATATGTGTTAGTCATTTACTCCCAGGTCCACTTTTGATCCCAGCCCAATGACCTGTCTGATTTTCCCCATCACTGTAGCCTCACAGAGGTGATGCTATCCTGAGCAATTTATCATACATGGTAACAGTGGCGACTGTTTCATCATGGTGTAGTGGTGGCAGAGATGGTTGGAATTTTTTGTGTTAGTCTTATTGGAAGGAGACATGACAGTCTTAATATTTCCAAAACCTGCTTCTTTTTTACGGATAAATACTTGAATATACAGGTGAAAATCTGATTTGAGTCAATTTAAAAGGGCTATACATATTTTTATTTTGTAGGGGCTAGGTGAGGATCACAGACCCAATAGCTGGCTAGCCACGCAGCTGGTATTCAGTGTGCTGGAGCAACTGTTCTCTTTGTGATCCTAGGTTGTCCTTCATGGTGCTGTTCAAGACAGTCCTTTCTCCTCAACTTGTCAGTGACTGATGTAAAGAGGTGATGAGCAGGTGTGTCCTGGGTAACATCATGGTTGGAGACAATGCAACACTGGTGATGGAGTTCACCCTGGTAGGACTCTCTGATCACCCTGAGGCACAGACTACCTTCTTCTGGCTGCTGTTGATTGTCTACATAGTGACCCTGATGGGGAACAGCCTCATTGTGCTGTTGATAGCTGTTGACCACCAACTCCACACTCCCATGTACTTCTTCCTCAGCAACCTCTCCCTCCTCGACATCTGCTACTCCTCCAGCTCTGCGCCACAGATGCTGGCAAACTGCTTTGCAGAGAGACCCACCATTTCTTTCAACAAGTGTTTTTCCCAGATGTGCATCTCTGTCTTCCTGGGGATGACAGAGTGCCTCCTGCTGGCCACCATGGCTTATGACCGCTTTGTGGCCATCTGCCATCCCCTGCGTTACCCTCTGATCATAAGCTGGAAGGTCTGTATCCAGCTGGCGGCCACTGCATGGGTTAGTGCCTTCCTGCTCACCTTCATCCCTAACATGACGCTAAAAGATCTTTTCTGTGGGCCCAGTGTCATCAACCATTTCACCTGTGAGGTGCAGGCCATGCTGAAGCTGGCTTGCTCCCCAAACCATGTCCACGAGGGGATCATGTTTACTAGTGGGGTCCTGACACTCCTTGTGCCCTTTGCCTTCATCCTGGTGACTTATATACGCATTGTGCTGGCTGTGCTGTGCATCCGCTCAACTGAGGGCAGAAGCAAAGCCTTTTCCACCTGTGGATCCCACCTGGCTGTGGTCACTATATTCTATGGCACAGCCATGTCCATGTACCTGCAGCCTCCATCCAAATCTTCTTCTGACCAGGATAAGCTCATTGCTGTGTTTTATGGAGTTGTCACCCCTATGCTAAACCCCCTCATCTACAGTTTGAGAAACAAGGATGTGAAGGAGGCTCTGAAGAGACTTTCTGGCAGGATAATTCCTCCCTGAAAGACAGTCAGGGCATGAATAAATGACAGTCTTGGTGTAAAGGTCATCTACCTGTCTCTGTTGGGTTGTTCAGGCACTAGAGTAGTCCTGTGCAGCAGTGCTCCTTGGTATAACGCACGGCAGAGTCATTTATCATCAAGGTCAGGCATACCAGAAGACACCTGCTGTTGGCACTGGATTTATAACCCAGATGCCTTAATCTGAGTGGACCCCAAACCCTCAGACCAACCATGACCTTTCCATTCAACAATAGGCAAATTTTATTGATACACAGTGATGGCAGATAAGAACATTGCAAACAATTCTCTATCTACCAGTCCCAGGGCTGTCATTCGAGGGAAGGTATCTCTGGCCAATACACAAACTTCACTCTGAAGTTTCCTTTTGATTGTCAGATGTCAACAGCTTGTATGTTGGAGGCCAAGGCCCACCTCCCTCAGTGGGGTGGGTGAAATGGGCTGGCGGTATGCCCTCTGCCCATGGTGGCTTCGGGTTCCCCTCTCAGGGACCCTTTGCCATTCTGAAATCCCTTCTTTTGTATTATTTTTTTCCTTCTGATGACTCTTCATCTTTGGACATCACTGATTGGTTTCTCTGTGGTCGTCATACTGTCCATGTTCTGTCCTGTCAGCATATCCCTTTGTTTCACAAACTCATCACATGCACACATCCTAATTTTGTTCTTTCTGGGTCTTCTCTTAATTTGGTCTGTTCCCCAAAACTGGAAATCCCAAGGGCTCTGCAGTTGGGCACTGTGACCTACTGCCACCTTATCTCATTTTATGGAACAGTGTGGTACACGTCTTCAATTTCCTAGCCTGTGTGTCTGCTTGCTGCTTACCTGGCAGACAGTGAGCCTTGAGGAAACTTTGTCACAAAACAGGCTTTTAGAAATCAATTAGCCCTTGTCATTGCCCTGGACCATTGTTCTAATGCATATCTACTTTAACTAAAAGCCAATTCCTAAAAGCAAACCTCTAAATACCATTTTCTAGTCATCACCTGCAACATCAACAAAGCTCAAATACTTCTATTTTGTCCACTAGCCTGTGTTTGGGAGCTTCACTACCCCAGGTCTGGAATTTGGAGACTCAGCCTCAGGCACATTTTCAAATAGTGATGGCACACAACTCTGAGAGGATAAATGTCTTGTTTTGCATATCCAGAACCTGAGGCATCTAAAATTGCTAATAGCTCTTAAAGATCTTGGTTGACTTCACCTGTAAACATAGCCTGGTGCCAGGTAATCCAAAACTACAGCATTGTTCCAGTATGTACAGTAGTCAGTGGGATGTCTGGGTAATTACTGGCCGGCTAGCTTGGCTCTGATAGTGGGCAAAGTCATAGAACATTGGGTAGTGGTCTATCTATAAGGAGAGTGAACCAGTGAAGCTACGGGTGGCCACATGGAAATTGTGAGGCAGTGATTATTATTTATCAAGTAATTCAAACCTTTATTCTCTAAATATCTAACACAGTGGCAAGTACAGATTAAGAACTCAGAATGAATACTGCTGGGATTTTTTATTGTGGATTAATGACTCAAGTGTGGATAAGGAGAGAGCAGGAGCTTCAGGATTGTCACTTCGTGATATGTTTAGTGGCACATCTCACTTTCCAGCCTCCTTTTGCAGGACTTGGTATGTCTCTGTGCTTTATTCCAGGTGTTCTGTCACCCTCAGTCATTACAACTAGGTGACCCAAAGAGCTGTGTCCAAATGTGATGTGACAAAATTAGCAGTGATGATGCCAGGTGAAGGGAAAAGCTGTGACCTCTCACACACCAGTGACCATTTGGTAGAGGAGGCAGACCCCCACCCAAACACTAGATGGTCCAGAGGAGTTTGCCCTAACCTGGGAGCCTGGAGCTCTCACTGTTGCTGTTTGTTTGGGATGACAAAGATTTTGTAAACCGTTTCACTGACCTCAGGTTCTTACCCAATGCCAGAAAATTATCATAACCAATCTCCTCCACAGTTAGGCAGACAGAGTAACAAAAACTACACAAAGTGACTGCAGGCAGAACTGGTAATGAGTCTTCATTTCTCACCGGTTTTACCTACAACTTCATCACACTGCCCATGTGCTTTAGTTCTGCTGTTTCTAACCATTACACCACAGTCCCCAAGCCAGAAATGAAACCCAGGACTCCTGATCTCCAGGGCTGCATCATTAAGAGCTATGCAACACAGTAGCCAAGAAAAGGGAAAGCTGCAAGTGTGACTGCACCATGGAAAAACAAGAATTTTTTTTCACAACTCAAGCAGCTGAGTGCTGGGCTTACCACTTGGATATGAAAGGTTCAGGGACTCTTATTAAACTTGGGGAGTAGAAGGGACATGTTCACGAGACAGCATTTCCTTTTTTGTTTCCTGTACACACACACACACTCCCCTTGAGTAATCATTCCTTAAAACATATTTTGTTAATTAAAAAATGTATATTAGGGCGTGATGTGCAACAAGATATTAGACCCCCACCATTCTTTTTCTGTATTTTATTTTGGGTGGCTGAGAGAGGGAGAGGTGCATTTCCTAATGGAGCTGGAAGGGAGAAGGTACCTCCAGCCTTCATCCTGGAGGCTGGAGGTACCCAGGGTGCCCTGCTCTTGCTCCTGTATGAAACCTTTCCTAGAGGTGGTGGTATGTCTCAGGAAATGAGCAATGAGACAGGATCTTTCACTGAGGTCCCATCCAGTCAACAGTTTACATCATTTCTGCTTAACGTGGACTTATTTTGTATATTATTTCAGTAATGATTTAATGTTAATACAGTATTAAATGAAAAAAGATCATCCTGAAAACAGCTGCAGCCTCTATCACCTTTCCAGAGGGACCATCAGAATAGACAAGGTATGGGCAATTATATGGGCTGGAAGGCCACTTCAGGGGTATGTCCCAGCAAGTGCACATGTGTGGTTTGCGGCGCCACAATCCTGTCTGCAGCACTGCAAACTGCACATGCCACACATGCACATGTTTCTCATGCTGCTAATTTAGCAGTGCGGTAGGGGGGCTTTATACCGGGAGAGCCCATTGTCAAAAAAAAAATGCAGCAGAAAAAAGGGGGTGGTGCATGTGGCTGCAGCATGCACCCCCCAAAAATGGAGCCTGACTGGCCATAGCCATGATCCAGCTGCCAGTCAGCCTCCATGTGCCCTTATCACTGTCATTGCAGCCCCAGGAGGCCCCCAGGTAAGGCGGCTGGGGCCAGCCCAGATGCAGGCCTCAGCCTCCCCTACTCCACCTGGGGCAATCTGCAGTACCAGAGGGTGTGTGCAGGAGCATGCCCAGGGACAACTAGCAGCAGCACAAAAATGTGCTGCTGCTAGTTGTTCCCAGGGAAATGCATGTTCCTGCTTGTGGGTATGCACCCATGGATTGTTGGTGAGTTGTTGCGAACTGGGCAGAGGGGGTGCTGATCCAGCCTGCTGCAATGGCAGGAGGACAATTGATCCTATCCAGACCTGGACTGTCTGCCCAGCTCCCACCACCAGGGGCACTAGCAGGAGTAGGTGGGGTCTCCATGGAGACCAGCTCAGGTCCTGTATGCAGGGCATGCTTGGCTGTGTGAATGGGATGGCAGGTGGGGAGAGGTGCCCAGGAGTGGGATGGGCAGGTGGGGCTGGGATCATGGCATGGTGACAGGGCCCAGGGCAGATCTGAAACCTGCTTCCCACATGTCCCTGCAATGGGTGCCAGTTCCACTGGTAGGGATGTGCAGCGAGAGAATTGAGGCTCTGCCTGGGGCCCTGGCCCTGTGCTGTCACCACCCTGAAATCCCAGCCCCAGCCCTGGCTTCACCCACCAACCCCACTCCCAGATGCCTCTCCCCACCCGCCCATGGCCACAATCTATCAGCCAAGCAAGTGCACCCTGCCTGTGGAGGTTGTGGGCCAGTCTCCATAGTGACATTGCCTGGCCACCTGCTCCATCTGGTGTCCCCAGAAGCGGGTACAGGACGGACAGGCCAGGGTGCTTGGGCAGTGGGGCCGCAGTCCGGCAGCAGTGGTGACAGGGCATGCACATTCTCCTGGGCAGCAGTGGCAGTCCCCATTCTGCTGCCCTGCCCTACCAACTATACCTCCCAGCATGCCCAAGAGCTGCACGTGGGATAGGGTGGGCCGCATGAGTCATCACTTCCTCATTTGGGGATGGTGGGACCAGCTGCACACACCATGGCCTGGGCAGCATAGGGTTCCAGGGCTCCAATCCTGGTACACAGGGTCCTGAGGTCCCAATCCCAGGACATGAGTCTGGGTGGAAGCAGTGCTGGGTCCTGGGGCCTTGATCCTGGCATGTGGGGCTGGGCAGGAACAACATAGTCTGAATCCCAGTGTGTGGGCCCAGTCCTGGGGCACAGGGTCTGATCCAGCCTGTGGAATGGCCCTGTGCCATTCATTTGGCCTGCAGGGCCAAAAGGTTTAGCACCATTGGTTTAGGTTAAGATGCTGTTTCAGTGGAAGCAACTCCAAGTCCTTGTCTTGCAGGATACAAACCTGGAGTAAACTGTATTCTGTGTTTCACTTGACCCCATTAAAATACAGTTCATTCAAACAGTCTCAGCTTGCCAAGTGATTTCACCAAGTTTGTTGCAAGACCTAATCTCCATAAAAGTAGACTCAATGCTTTGAAATGATGAAGAGTAGTGTGTGAGAGGACAGGAGTTTGTGGGGTAAAACAGAGAGTGTTTTGAGTGAAACAGAGGGTGTGCAAAGAGATATATGGCTGAGGTTTGTGGGTGCAAGGGAATGTCAATGATAACAGGAGGTGGGGCAGATGAGATTAAGAGTGGCACAGGTGATGGGCAGAATAGGAAGATATGGGGCCAGGAAGAGAGCAAAGTGGGCAGAAGGAGGCATATTCATTGTTTGCTGCACCTATGCTCTGTAAAAACTGTCCTAGTATGAAGGCACTATAGAACAAAACATTCTAGTAAAGCAGGACATAGAGCACTGGAAAACTTCCATAGCTAAGTGGAAGGTCAAGTGTTAGTCCTGTGTCAGGTAGGACACTGCAAGCCTGTGTCTATCTGGAGATCAGTAGAATGATGGTGTCATTTCCTTCCAGACTACAAGTTCCTTGCCATCATCCCTACTCAGTGCCCTTGTGCAGGAGGGGGATAGAGAACCTCTTCAGGTCTTCAATGTTCAAAGTAACTCTTCAGGCTCTGCAGAAGGGACAGCGGTTTTTAGGTATCTGCATGTCACCCAGTCTCTCATGCTGCCCTGGGCTGGATTGGGCTTTCCAGGGCCAGATCCAGCTTCTTCACTGGCTGGATCCAGCCCTGAGGTTGTAGATTGCCGATGCCTGTACTAGACCATTTTCCTGGCTCAAGCAGTTGCAATTACCCATTGGTCTTAAGGAAGGTGTAAAAGTCCAAGAGAAAGCAGCAGTGGCAGGAACCTAACCCAAGGGAAATTACCAATAATCACTTAGTGCTGGAGATTGCTGACAGATGCCAGAAGGCAGTGTTGGGGGAGAGGTCTTGGAGTTGCATCAGTGATCCCTGGGTTACTCTCCTTAGGGTTCATGCAGTTATTGTCCAGACCCCACCCAGCCTTTGTGTCTCATCTGCAGTGAGTGATTCCCACATGGTGCAATTAGTAGTCAATCCTTGGAGCCCTTCTGTGCTGGGACCACACACTCAAGAGCAGTGGGACCAGCCACAACACACAGAAAATCCATAATACTAAAGTTAGGTGCAATAATCAGAGATGGTGAGAACTGAGACTCAGGAGAGACACTGTCCCTGCAGAGCAGTGTTAACTGCACTAGGTTAGAGGCAGGCTCCAATTCTTCACCCAGACAGTTTGTTTCTGAGGCTCTTCTACAAAGAAATCCCATCACCTAACAAAGTGACTGTGGGGCTTTATCTCCTTGCCTCTCTCCTTGCTCAAAGCAGAATTGAAAAGTTAAGTCCTTAGAGGGTTTTTTTTGTGGTGGACCCCTTACCTGGCCCCTCCCAGTGCCTTTGCTCAGGGGTCTCTTTGCTTTTCTGATTAGTGAAAGGACTGACTGGCTTCTGGTGGTGTTAACCAGCCACTGGTCTTTTCTCATTGTGGATTGCTAGTGTTTTCTTCACAGGGAAGAAGCTCTGTGAAACCAAGACATGTCCAAGCAGACTGCATCTTGCCAGGCTCCCTGCTTCTGGCCACACTTTGGAGCTGCCTGAATAGGGGCCAGTAGGGTCTCATGTCTCTGGTCAGGTGAGTTGTTCTCAGGCAGTTGATTCTGGTGCCCCACAGAGAGCTTTCCAATATGTGCTTAATGATTCCAGGAGGCCTTGTTAACCACCAGCTGTCAGGCCCTTCAATAGTCTGTCTCATGGCAGCTCTGACTTCTGGATACGTAAAATGGGAGTGGATTTTCATTTCCATTTCCTGCACAAGTATCTCAGGTTGCCCTCTGGTTCCGTGCATGGGGTTTGGCAAAACAGTAAGTATTTCCAATGTAGTAAAAGGGGATGAACCATTTCTCCTTTAGCTGTGTGGTTCCCTCATTCATTTTTAAATCTAAAGGCTTACTGAAATAGTGACGGACAACAGCATTACCTGGAAAGTTGCACTTACTAAAATCTCAGTTTCAGGTACAAAAATAATATAGAATTTCACAAACCCAGTTTTCTGTAAATGGATAATTCCTGCAACCATCTCAGTAACGTTTTCCTTGGGAGCACTTCAGTTAAAATGGCAGCAAAAGTGCCCAAGGCACGTTTGTGAAAATGTAGACCTCTTGAGAAAGGTGTCACTGTCCTGTGAAAAGGTGACCTGTGGAAAGCTAGCCCAGCTTCATTTAACCAGTGGGTTACAGCTGTGAGTGATGGACCCTGTTCTTCCATGTGGAAGGTGCCTGAGACCAAACCAGGTGATGGACCCTGGAAAGAGCTCCTGCTGGTGTGAGGTCTGAATTGTGAATACTCCCTTTGGTACTGAGGAGGCAAGGAAACTAGGAAGTCCAAGGCAGGTTGTCAGCACTAGGCAAGCACTTCTGCAGCAACTCCAAGGGAGTCTTTGGCTCCAGCACCTTCCATCCCAACCACCGCTCAGTGGGTGAAGGTTGAAAAGGGGAGATAGTAATTGGGAAGAAAAACCCAGACCCTCTCTTGCCATACTTCCCTGCAGCTGCCTCAACTCCCTCAGCTGGAAATGTGGCCCCGATTCTTCTGGAGGCAAGAACTGCAGGAATGGGCACAGGGATGGATGCGGTGGGGAGGAGAAGGTAGTTGCACCTCCTGCCCCAACCTCCCCACCCGTGATTCCTGGTCCACCCTAAGTTTAAAACCTGCTGCCTGCTAGTGGCAGCAGCCTTTCTATTTAGGCAACAGTGATGGAGTCAATTGACTTTGTGGCTCATTATAATTTACCAGGTTCCTTCTAAGATCTTCATTCCATAGGTGTTAATGACTCTCCCTCCTTTTCAATGGCCTTGATGTTCAGCTAATCAAGCTAGCCTTTCTCTTGCAATTCTACCTTTTTTTTAGCTACCCTTGGTGATTTAGCTCATATGTCACTGCTCTGCATACTTTTTAACTCTAACTAAAATCATTAACTCAGGTGTGGAAATCATTTTCAATGAAGTATTGGATGAACTATCAAGAAAATCAAGAAGGCTTGTTTTTGGGGTTTTTTTTAAATCTGGAAAAGAAAAGTCTGTTTAATTTTAATGACCAAAATAATAATGAAACAACATATTTTGATTATTTCATTCATTGTAGTTTGTTGTGGTTTTTATATATAACATATGACAGCAAATTAATGAACATGCCAATGCATTTATATTTGTTTTTGTTCCAGTCCTAAACTGAATAATATAGGCCAAGGCCCCTCACTTATTATTACTAATGCTTCTAGCTTCTTGTTAGTGGGATAAGAATATGTGTTGTGTTATATGTGATGATGCACCACACCAGCTGCACCCCCCACCCTTTTCAAAATCCTAGATCTGCCCATGAATGGGTGTAGGCTGGTGGCACACGGCACAAACTTCTAGGCCTTGAAGGCATACTGCCAAGGCCCTTGATATGATGGGGTCTCAGGGAGGCTGATGAAAGGACTATGATTGGGAAAAGGGCTGATGAGGGACCCTGTTTTCTCGGCTGACTGTGGTCAATGATTTTGTTGCATTTGGACCCAAATAGGTTTTCTAGGGCGCTTTTAATGACATTTAAACCCAAGCAAATCACAAGCTCTTATAACAGGGCCTGTAAATATTCAACCTTTAAGGTGGCTGTGGAGACTCTGCATAGGGAATCACCCTGATCTAAAAACAGCAGGATTGTCAGAAAGGACAAACCTTTTGTTACCATCCTGCTTGTCGAGTGCCACAGCAAAACTGTGCCAGATCACTATTGCACTGCTTATCCCTCTAGCAGATGTATAGCTCTTACTCTAGCTATGATAACAATTTATGTAGCCACCAGCCTTATGTTGACATACTGATTCTCAGCCCTGCTGGATTCACAGATGTTTATTGCTCTCACTGATCAGAGCTCGTTACCCAGAGCTGAAACATATTTGTTGGTCATTTACTTTAATCTCTCCCCTTTTATCTCAGCCTAGTGACCTGTCCAATCTTTCCCATCATTCTTACCTGACACCACTGAGGCTACTCTGAGCTTTGTCATGTGCAGTGACAGCGCTGACTGTATCACCATGGGCAAAGTGGGGACAGGGCTGGTTGGAATTAGTTACTGTAAAAAAATTACATTGCAAATGGTCTTTACAGTGTTTAATATGGTTAATGTTAATGAAAACTTTCCTATTTTGTGCAGTATTAATTGGGCTTTATTTTAATTTTTTTAACTCAATCAGTTGGAAAGGGAAAGAATTTTAGTTTGTTCAAAACCTCTTTTATCAACATTTTAAATAACATTGTATGTGTTATCTGGTATAGATGATGTCTATAGGATACCAGGTCTTGAATTGAGCCTCACTAGCTCTCAAAATATGGGGTGAGGGCTAGATGAGGATTGCAGGCTGCAAAAAGCCCCAGGACTGACCAACCAAGCAGCAGGTATCCAACGTGCTGGAGTAACTGTTCTCTTTGTGATCCTAGATACTCCCCTCATGCTGCTGCTTTACACAGATCTTTCTCAGCTTGTCAGAGACTGATACAAAAAGGCGCACACAAGCAACATTTGCAGCGTACAGTGAAAGTGCGTTCTGTTGCTCCCACTAACCCCAGGGGCTCCGCTACCTTTTCCGGAACCCATCCCCTTAGCATATTATTGACAAATGTTCTAATGTGACCCATTTAATGGAGAACTGGTGTAAGAATATCCACCTACTGTAATAAGAACATTTACCTACTTTCTGTACTATTCCATTGACTGTAATAGCCCCTGGTAATGGCCCCTGTAATAGCTCACGGTAATACCATGGAAGTAGACAATGAGACACTGGTGACAGAGTTCATCCTAGTGGGAATCTTCCATCATCCTGAAGCCCAGACTGCCTTCTTTTGCCTACTACTGATTGTCTACCTTGTGACCCTGATGGGAAATGGCCTCATTATTGTATTGATCATGGCTGATCCCCTTCTCCACACCCCTATGTACTTCTTCCTCAACAACCTCTCCTTCCTTGATATCTGCTACTCCTCCAGCTCTGTCCCTCAGGTCCTGGCAAGGAGTTTTGCAAAGAAACCCACTATCTCCCTTAACAGTTGCTTGGCTCAAGGTTATGTTTCCATCTTCCTAGGCATAACAGAGTGCCTCCTCCTGGCTGTCATGGCCTATGATCGCTTTGCAGCCATCTGCAACCCTCTGTGTTACTCTCTGATTATGAGTGGAAAGGTTTGCATCCAGCTGGCTGCTTTTTCCTGGGTCAGTGCCTTTCTTCTTACTGTGATCCGGCAATTGGTCCAGCCAAAGCATTTCTGTGGACATGTTATCAACCATTTCTCATGTGAACTGCAAGCAGTCCTTGAGCTGGCCTGTTCTGATACCAGTTTCAGTGAGCTGGTCAACTTAGTCACTGCTCTATTGGTTCTTGTGGCACCCTTCATCTTCATCATAGTGACATATGTGCTTATTGGGCAGGCTGTGTTGCATATTCGTTCAGCCCAGGGCAGAAACAAAGCCCTTTCCACCTGCAGCTCCCACCTGGCTGTGGTCAGTATATTCTATGGTACAGCCATGTTCATGTACATGAGACCTCAGTCCAAATCATTCTCTGACAAGGACAAGCTCATCAGTATGTTCTATGGATTCATCACCCCAGTGTTGAACCCTCTGATCTACAGCCTAAGGAACAAAGATGTGCAGGGAGCACTGAAGAGGACAATCAGGAGAACAGTGTTGCATTGAATTGATTATATGTAACTAAATGTTGTGTTTCAGGGCTAACTGTACCTCTCATCTTTTCTCTCATTCTCAGAATGACCTTCTAAATGTAAGCCCCTAAGCTTTGCCCTTCCTGAATTAGAAGTCCAGAATTCCCCAAACTCCTTCCCTCCAACTGGAATTTGCTCCTGATCACATGTAGTTTACAAAGAAAAGGAAGTAGTAACAGTTAAACCAAAAGAGACTACATATAAGCTTTGTAGGGGCATAATTCCACCATGTTGGACTGTGATTGTGATTATTTCAGTGAAGCCTGGCACATCTGCTTTTCACATGCCAGACTCCAAAATGGAATGGAATGTAGCTGTGTTAGGGTATCACTGGCTGCATCTACATCTTTATTAACGCACAATGGTTACTGCACACTTAATTTAATACTTCTATAGTCAGGTACTAAATAAATGCACAGGAACCGGAGTTACTGTGCAGCAATGTGGGTGAACACCTTTTAAGTGAGGCTACTGCACAGTTACCTAATAATACTGCGCAGTAGTGTTTTAGCACTATTTGTGCTGTGATGCACTACTGCACAGTATTATTAGGCTACCACACTATTAGCATCTTGTGTAGACGTGCCCACTGAGCACGTGTCAATAACCATGAGAGAGGTAGTTATACAGTGTAAGGGCTCCTGCTTTCATTGGGCTTCCTAGTTCCTGCCTGTTCAATCTCAAACATGTTTACTGATAGCTTTGCAGAACAATCTTTCCTGAACAGTGAGTTATTCTAATAATCTCTAGTG